ACACACATAAATACTCAATGAAAAACACTGTTGGTTGTACAGGACCACTGTCTGGTCCTATTTCATAGATCACCACTAGGGGGTGCTACAGGGTCGCATTTGGAGAAACAACAAACCGAAGAGGAAGATTGCAGCTTGTCAGCGGGACCCTGGAGTGAGCCCAGGAGGGTCATGCTCATTACCACATCCCTGGAGGTTTGGGACCATGTTTTTCGGCAGGTCTGCTTGGCCTGCCGAGGGGCAGAGCTGTTAAGAGCAGGCAGGTGTGAGGCTATGCTGGCACCTACGTGTGGCATCTCAGAATCCCTGGGCACTGGGTGAAGCTGTCAGAGCTGACCGCCTCCACAGTCACTCTGCTAGGATGGGGAGTCCAGCTGGGCTTCCATGCTGTTACCAGAGACTAGATGAATTTTCAGTGCGTCCTTCAAGACACATTCAGCACTTTCAGGACAAATTTACCATAGCAACTGAGCTGGATAGACCAGCCAGACTACTGTTTATGGATAAAGAGCCAGTAGCCCTTATAGGAAGTGCTTAGGGACAGAAATGCTTCTGATTTTTTTTTTCTTCTTCAGAATTCAGGATGTTCTTACAGTGTACATACCGAGTTATCTCGGGGATGGGATCTAAGTCCGTATACGGAGTTCAAATAAGTTTGGTATGCACCCTTGAAGCACAGGATAGAGGTAGTTTTATTCAGTATTTTAAGAGTGCCACCAGTCTTAGGAGCTCCAGTGTGGAATGTCGAGCTTGTGCCCTGTGAGTCTTCAAAAGGTTTCGGGTGTTGGACCATCTCAGATTTCACACCAGGGATGCACTACCTGTATAATGACATCTAAGCGGCCAGGCTCGGCGTCCACTCCACACATTGTGCCCGCCTAATCTCCTCCTGAGAGCAGAACCATCAGGTGGGTTCTGGAGATTTCCTTGCCCTCGCAAAAGATCGCTCTCAAGGATTTCCGCCAAGTGCCTCTCCTCATTAACCCTCTACATCCTCAAATGACGACGACCTCAATTGACCTCAAATGACAAAGAAGTAGCCTCCGTCAGTCAGAAGCGGAGACAGCCAAGACTCAGGACAGGGGACAGAAGCATGCAGGCGGGGAGGACACACACGGACGAGGCTGCTGTTGCCATCAGGGACTATGGAGACACGTGGAGAGCAGGGAGGGACCTGTTTGGGTCTCCAGAGGCACAGGTGGTATTTCCGCTGGCCAGCACGGTGTCTCTCCAGTCCACCACATTCTGCCACTCAATCCACCATGGCAGCGGTTCTCAACCTGTGGGTCGAGACCCCCCAAACAGGGGTTGCACAGCAGATCTCCTGCACCGCGGATCTTTACATCGTGATCCCTAACAACAGCAAGACCACAGTTGTGGGGTAGCAATGAAACACTTCTGTGGTTGGGGAGGGGTCACCGCAGCATGAGGACCTGTATTAAAGGGGTGCAGCATTAGGAAGGGTGAGAACCCCTGCACTATGGACCGCAAGAGGTGTGTGCTCTGGGGAACTTACAAGTGAATACACAAAAAGAGACTCCGTTTGAGGCTGGCTGCAGAGACCATGTTTTCTTGTGGCTGGTTCCCTCCCATCTGGGGACATTTTTTTCCCCCACACAGGGACAGTGTATCTAACCTCCCACAGGGGTGACATGGGTGCTGCTGCTCCGTAGTCCTTGAACCTCCAGAGAGTCCCACTATTCGAGGCTTCACCCCATGTCTGACCTCTGGGCTCCATCTGCTAATGGCAGACCACGTACAACCCCCAATGGACTGTGGAAGCCAACGATGACACCAGTTACAGATTCTGCCTGTTTGCTCCCTGACCATGCCACCACAGCCCCTTTCTCCTGGGGTTTATCTAGAGGAAGAGGAATGATCACACACATGGTATGGATGCTGAAATCCTACGGACTGTTTTAGAGGCCTGTCTGGAGCTGCAATTTTACTGAAAGCAATGGAAATCATTTCTACCATCCCTCTTGCTGACGAACAGGCCTGGGCAGCCCCCCCCCCCCCCCAGTGGTAGGGTCTGTTTGTTTTTGTTTTTTTTTTTTTTTGATTTTTCGAGACAGGGTTTCTCCGTAGCCTTTGGTTCCTGTCCTGGAACTAGCTCTTGTAGACCAGGCTGGCCTCGAACTCACAGAGATCCGCCTGTCTCTGCCTCCCGAGTGCTGGGATTAAAGGCGTGCGCCACCACCGCCCGGCTCAGTGGTAGGGTCTGATGGAGAAGCCTACACGTCGCCTGCTAGCTCTCCCGGGCTTCTAACTGAAGAGTCTTGTACGTGCCATGGAGAAATACAACTTGTGGTCAGCAAGAGGTTTCCTGGGTCAGAGAACTACAACACTATGTGAGTGGATCCTTAATTCTGGCCCAAAAGCTTCTTACTTGCTATGGTGTGATGTGGGAGTGATTTCTTTCTAATCTGTTGCTTTCATTGGTTAATTAATAAAGAAACTGCCTAGGCCCATTTGATAGGCCAACCCTTAGGTGGGTGGAGTAAACAGAACAGAATGCTGGGAGAAAGAAGCCGAGTCAGGAGTCGCCATGATTCTCCCTCTCCAGACAGAAGCAGGTTAAGATCTTTCCTGGTAAGCCAGCTCGTGGTGCTACACAGAATATTAGAAATGGGTTAGATCAATATGTAAGAGCTAGCCAATAAGAGGCTGGAACTAATGGGCCAGGCAGTGTTTAAAAGAATACAGTTTCCGTGTAATTATTTTGGGTATAAAGCTAGCTGTGCGGGCGGCCGGGTGCCAGGAACGTATCCCGCCGCTCCTTATTATTTTGGGGGTTAGCTAGCCGGATGGCGGGACGCAGCCCTGCCGTTCCTGGTTCAACAATGGTGCCATAAGGTTTAACTTGTAAAGCACAACACACATTTTCAAAGACTCTTTCTGTGCCCTGGGACGTGTTTACTTGGATGAAAAAGTCATGAAGGCTTTGCGTGACTCTGGGAAGGCCAAGCGGAAGGAGCAATCATAGCGGGCAGTGTCACAATGTAAGTGTGCTCAGTTAGCTCAGCAAACACACGACTTCCTTTCCTACCGAAGACTTGACAGCCTAGGGAAAATCTGCACCTTACTCTAGACAAACTGCCCGCTTCTGCATACCTACCATGGTGAGGCTCGCCTCCCTGCCACATAAACATGCATTTGTAACGTATAATTCATGCAGGGGTAGACTGTAGATACCCATCACTCTTCATGGACACTAATATGACCAGTCCAGAAAGATGGGCAATGTAAATTTGTTACTGGGGTGAATTTTTCTGGTTGTGGAGGAGGCTGGGACTATTGGTAAACATGAATCTTTACCGTTAGCCATGCACCAATGCTGCCCCTCCAAAGAGCAGCTCGGTAAGGGACTCTGTGCCAAAAGCTTAAGAACAGAGGAAAATCAAGGCAGAGGGAAGAAAGGGCAGGTTGTTTTGATCCACTAGAGGGCAGGGAGGGAGGGGACAAAAGGGCAAAGAGCTGCCCTCCACCCTCCAATGCCACTCCGGTGATTAAGGAAGAAGTCTGTGGCCACCATGCAGCTTAAGGTCTTATTGTTTTGTGTTTAAAGTAGCTCAAGTTCTAGACACTCCACTCTCTTATCTGGGAGGCATTGATACCATACTGTTAACACTTCCTATTTATGCACGCCAGAGGACCCTGGTGTGGAGCTCAGAATGTTCACCCTTTTATAGGACTTGGGTGTGTTTCAGCCTCCAAAACCTCCTACTGAAAAAGGGGGCCTTGAGAAAGAATTCATATCTGTCTCCTGGGAACAGACTAGCTCCTGGGAGAACCGTTGGCATAAGACGGTTCCGTGCTTGTCCTGCCGCTCCCTTCCACATGCTCACTTGCCCTGTGTGGTAGTTTGAATGTCACTGGTCCCCATCATCTCATAGGGAGTGATGGTATTAGGAGGTGTGGCTTTGTTGGAGTGAGTATGGCCTTGTTGGAGGAAGTGAGTCACTGTGGGGGTGGGATTTGAGGTTTCCTATGCTCAGGATATTGCTCGGTGTCTCAGTGAACTTCCTGTTGCCTACAAGCTGAGATGCTGCCATGCTCCCCGTCATGATGACAAGGGACTGAACTTCTGAAACTGTAAGTGAGCCACCACAACTACATGTTTCCTTTATAAGAGTTACCATGGTCATGGTGTCTCTCCACAGCAATAGAAACCCTAACTAAGACACCCTGCTTCCTCTCTCCCACACGCCTGCTTGCCCTTCTGCTCCACACCATGATGTAAAGCAGTCTGAGGCCCTCACCAGGAGCCTAGCAGGTGCTAGAGCCATGCTCTCAGGTTTTCAGCCTCTAGAACTCTGAGGCAAAATGAACTTTCTTTTTCTAAACAAACTAACCATTCTTAGAGATTCTTTTTTTCTAAATGAACTACCCATTTTATCAACAGCAACTCTGAAAATGAGCATTGTATTTGGATCTCTAAAATAAAATTAATTTTCACTGTCAAGCACACGTTGGCATCCAGATGACCCCAAACGTCCGCAGACAAGAACCCAGCATTCTGTATTTCTAGAGAATCAGTGCTCAGCGAAGACCCTTCTCTAGCCCATGCTGTTGGGCTCAGAGGAGCACACCCCTCAGGCCCGCCCCATACATGTCCCACCAGAAGCCAAGGGAGATGACGCTGAGGTTCTGTCTCCTTGTGTCCGCAGTCAAAACACCAGAATGAGCCCATCTCGTTTTGAAAATGCAAAGAAGCACACACTGTCTTGTTCAAACGTTTCCTCTTTGAGCTCTTCATATGTTTCTTTCTTGCCCACTTTTTTTCTTCTGCAATCAAGGTCATTTATTCTTCCTTTTAGACTAGTTTCTTTGACTTGTTTGGGGTTCCTGGAATATTCTAGAATGCTGCAGGAGATTCACTATCCCCAAACTCTATCCCCCAAACGCTAACCATTGCATACATTTTCCATGAACATCGCTATCAGCTCCAGGGCCCAAGTGGCTGAAAAGACCTTTAGCAATGACAGCCATGGCCTTACCTTTCTGAAGAAGTGTTGCGTGGAGACAGCCAGGGCGTCGAAGCCACGGATGGCCCTCTTCAGCTCCCCGCGAGCCAGGCCCAGCTGCCTGGCCTGCCACTCACACCTGTCCCTCAGTCGCTGGGCCAGCTGCCGCTCTGCCTCTCGGGCCTGCAGGTCAGGCTTGGGTGCAAACCCATTCCGAGGAGCAGTGGTCCTCTGCTTTGGGTGCCCTGTGAAGAGAGAGAGTGGTCACTTGTGGTATTCTGTTCAACTGCAGCCTTTAACAGGAGCTTCCCAGACCCATAATAGTTTTAACAAGACCTCAGAGACTGAGGTGGGACCTCACAGGTGGCACGCCTTAATCTCTGGGACTTAGGCAGAATTGCTCCTCAAAAATTGCCTTCATGTGATGAAAATATGTTCTATTCCAGGAAACACACTGAAAGGTTTTAGGCATCTCAATCCTGAACTGTGCACTGCCATGACATGTTCAGTACTGAGAAACAAGCGGGCGGCTTCTGAGGCAATCTCAGCAGAAGCAAGGGGAGGTTTCCTGTTGGGCCCACGGGAAGACAGGGTCAGAGGCTCTGTGGAGAAGCCTCTCTCCCATGGCTGCTGTTTTTCATCTTTCCGTGGCAAGAAGGCTGGTGATTTTATAAAACTCTCCTGCACATTAGTCACCGTGCCGAGGCACTGAGTGTCTGGCGCCTTTATGATAGGAGACGTTTCCTCCAGAAATTCAAGAAAACCACAGTGAACTAAGGCTGACCGTCAGCACAGTCCACGGGGTCAGCTCTGAGCTGTGCTGCTTCCCCTGCCCACACTGCCGTGTGTGTGTGTGTGTGTTTATAGATTTATAAAGTTATTTCACTTTTATTTCTCTCTCTGTGTGTGTACATACATGAACATGTATGTGAGCACACTACAGGTCAGAAAAGAGTCTAGGAACTGGAGTTAAAAGCAGGTGTGAGCCACCCGACATGGGTGCTCAGGACTAAACTCAGGTCCTCTGCAAGAGAAGTGTGTCTCCATTTCTATTGTTTCAATTGTTTCTATTGTTGTGATGAACACCATGACCCAAAACCAAGTTGGGGAGGAAAGGGTTTATTTGGCTTACACTTCCACATCACTGTTCATCACTGAAGCAGTCAGGACAGGAACTCAGACACAGCAGGAACCTAGAGGCAGGAACTGGTGAAGAGGTGCTGCTTACTGGCTTGCTCATCATTACTTGCACAGCCTGCTTTCTTATAGAACCTAGGGCCACTATCCCAGGGATGGCACCACCCACTATGGACTGCACCCTCCCCCATCAATCACTAATTATGAAAATGTCTTACAACTGGATGTTCCCTCTCTGCTGACTCTAGCTTCTGTCAAGTTGACCTAAAACTAGCCAGCATGGTTATCATTAGGTTAAGGAAATGAATACTCCCATTGAAATTTCCTTTTTAAGCTGGCATTACTATTATTACTATTACCATTACTATTACATTGCTGTCATTCATGTACTCAAAGTTCCGGTATTCAGTCAAATGCAAGCAGGCAGCTCACATTTCTCCTCTCGGGGTCACCCAGCAACTGACATCTTGGCCAAGTCAGCGGCTCCCCTAAGAACACTCACTTTTGGAGCCAACACAACAAACTTAGCTACACTGTGACATTAAGTGACTCAAAGAAACAGTCCTTGTTTAGGGCTCCTCGTTGGCTGTACCGTAATTCTCAATCACTGTCAAGGGCTGGCCAAAGCCCAGGCCCCAGAGCTTCCCCACCAGGAAGGAAGCGCTGAGAAATTAGGTTGGCCATGGACTTCACTTTTGCTTCGTTGAGAAGGGTTTGTGATGGTGAATCTTAATCTTCACTGTGGCCGCACAAATTTACCATTTTACCAATATCGTGCCAAGGTCCTTACCTCTAAATTAGCAATGATCAAAGAACTAGATGAGCACTCACTCGCTATGCCCAACAGACAGCTGATTTGATATGCTTCTTGCTAGGATTTTAGATGCTTCATGTCAAGACTTTTAAGGTCCCACATACTTAATTCTTGCTATCGAATGTTATCTTTATGTCTGGTGTCCTGCTAGGTTCAGTGGATGAGCAAGGAATGAGGTTCATCTTGGCCTCTGGCCAACAACTGTCCAAGAGGGACCAACCCAGATCCCTGGCTCCTCTCTGCCCAGGGTGCTTCCCATTTCCTCATTTGTGGGGCTACTCTATGTCTCCAGCACACCCCATAGGGTTAGGAGCTTGCCCTAAGTCTAGACTGCATTTCCACTGCCCAAGTCCTGCCCCCGGTCACAGTTTCTTTCAAACCACAAATCAGGGTAGGGCCGATGGAATGTATGCTGACCACAATGACATGTGACAGCTTAGTCCCAGCGGGGAGGCCAGTAACTGGACATCAGCACAAAGGCAAATGTCAACAGTTGTTTGCGTGCAAAGTCTGAGCTCTCGACAGTTTGCGTGCCAAGGTGAAGCACTGGGGAGGCCACGGTGTTTGAAAATGGAAAGCAACTATTAAAAATTCATTTGCAGCATCCAGTCACTACCTGAGGAGAGCCAGAGATGGACAGGGTGATTTAATCCAATCTGCAGAGCTTATCAGATACAGTAACACAGCCGAGCTGGTGCCTGCGAGCTGATAATACGATGGAAGGCCATGACCTTCACACTTGTAAACAAGGTGGAAGCAAGGACCAGACACAGCTTTGATGGCTTCTCGGTTGGAGGGAAAGTCCTCTGTGGACCGTGCTCAACGTCCTAGCAGAGGCAGATCCCAAGGGCACATGAGGGGAGTTCCTTGTGGACTTGAAGATAGCTTTGTTTTTATGACCGTAAGCACGGTTAGAAGGATTTCTGAGACAGAATTCTTTTCCCACTCAGTACTAAACAGGACTACTGTTTGCCAAGGGTTGTCCAGTGTGCTGCTTGGTTTCTGTCATCTTGACACAAACTAGAGTAACGCAGGGACTGCCTCCATCTGACTGGCCTATGGTCAAGTCTGTGGGCTATTTTACTGCCATTTTACTTGAATGCAATTAACCACCCTTGACCTCTGAGGAGGAGGGAAGGGCTGGGGTTGAGTGAATAAGCAATTCTAACTATGTGCCGAAGTGTCTAGGTGTCCCTAAAACATGGGGTCTGGAGTTGCTGGCCTGGCTAGACACATCTAGAGAGCACTCTCTAAAGCCACAGGGATGGATGCTGTCAGCAGGGGACCTTTCTGGTTCCCATCCTAAGGACACTTCACCCCGATGCTCATCTGTGCCTACTTATGACTTTCAGGGAAGCCACTACTTCCACTTACTGGTGAGTTACACAGATGAGCATCGGGGTGAAGTATCCTTAGGCATTGGCAAGGAGGTGGGGGGACTGAAAGCTTTAGGCACTACTGCTGGAACCGCAAACGACAGATCACTTTAGGAAAGAATTTGGTGCAATTTAAAGAAGTTGAGTGTAGTTGTATTTTTCTTTAAGCTACCAACTCACAAAAATGACATGAGACTTATTAATTAAAAAAAGCTCAGCCTTAGCTAAGGCTAATTCATAACTGTTCTTACAGCTTGAATTAACCCCTATCTTTTAATCTATGTTCTTTTACACGGTTTGGTTACCTTTACTCTGCTTCCTCTCTGACTGGCTGGCAACTCCACCTTCCTCTTTCCAGCATTCTTTCTCTGCCCAGAGGTCCTGCCTAGCTCGCTATTGGCCATTCAGCTTCCTATTACACCAATCACAGCAATTCATCTCCACAGTGTACAAATATCCCCCAACAGGTAAGCATATCATTACTACATGAACCATACATCCGGGGTCTTAGTTAGGGCTGTATTGCTGTGAAGAGACTCCATGATCATAGCAACTCTTAGAAAGAAAAGCATTTAATTGGGTGGCTTTTAGTTTCAGAGGCTTAGTCCATTATCATGGTGGAACATTGCTGCGTGCAGGAGAAGTGTCTACATCTTGCTCTGCGGGGAGCAGAAGTGAAGACTGTCACACTGGGCATGGCTTGAGCCCGCCCCACAGCGACACACCTCTTCCAACATGACCACACCACCTAATAGTTCTATTCCCTATAGATCCATATATTTGAACACTTGGTCTGTTGCTACTGCTTGGGTAGGCTTAGGAGGTATGGCCTTGCTGGAGGAAGTCATCACTGGGGGCTGGCTTTGGGGTTGTAAAGCCCCCCCATCATCTCTAGTGACTGTTCTTTAAGCTTCCTGTTTACAGTATGGGGTGTAAGCTCCTGGCTTTCTGTTCAAGCCACCATGCTGGCTGCCTGCTGCCCTCAGTGACAGCTCTTACACCTCTGGAACCTTAAGCCCTAATAAACTACTTTTATTAGTTGGCTTGATCTCCACCAAGTCCTTGCACAACTTCTAGGAACCTTTCATTTGGATCTGACTGGGGTGGCGAGGAAATAAAGTACAGACAGACAGATGAACACATGGACAAAAATTTGGGATTGGGTGGTCTGGGCTATTGACTGGAGAAACCAAAGTACCCTGAGGCTCTCTGTGTTTAATATATAGAGAGGTGAGATTATGACATCCGCTGAACAAGGAGGCAGGGTTATGACATTAGCTGAACAAGGAGGTGGGGTTACGACATCCGCTGAACAAGGAAGTAAGTTTAGCTAATCATCTCAGCAGGTACAGTCTCGGTAGAGGAACAGGTCTTCAGGCTGTGAGCATCTAGTGGGAGAAAGCAATGGTGGCTGTATTTTGTACACACGGTCTCCCTCTGAGTCTGAGGCACTGGGTTCCAGACATGCTGTGTCCATGTCAACAGCATGCATTCACTTGGGACTTCTGTGTGGGTCACGCAGTTTCGCTGCAGCAGCAAAGTAACTAACACACTGGAGAAAGGGGTTACTAAAGACGACAGCAAAACAGAAGTGTATTACACGATTCCGCATCCGTGAGATCTTAGGAAATACAAACTAGACAGACTAGACCAGAGCTGGCTGGGATTGGGGTGTGGTGGGCTGTGCACATGGGCCTGGCATGACCATCAGGACATTCTGGAAGAAGATGGATGTATATTTTCTCCTCATTAAAAGCTGTTAGCTTCACAGGTAAGAGCACATGTCAAAACTGACCAAGATGTACACTTTACATATAGGTGATTTAACCCGTATTGATTTTTAACTGTTTGGCATTTTACTGATATAAATATTTCCATATTTCAACTTTTAAAACATTCTTCTATTTTAGGCATAGACTAGAAACAGTCCAAAGCTAGATATTATTACACACAGCCTCTGTTTCTCTTCCTTTTATGAAATACTACTTGAGCTGAGACCTTCAAAGTGTGATTTGTTTCCCAACTGAATTATTTTCACATGTTCTCATAAGAGCTCATAGCCTTTTGCAAAGAAAGTCTCCCACATTTATGTGGCATAAACTCTTGTTTTTATAGATAAAACTCATGTCCTCGGGTACAGAATGAGGAAACCCCAGCCCCTGTGCCAGGCCAGCATGCACACATCACGGCCACTTGAATGAACTCAGTGCCAAACTAGGGCCTCACAAAACAGCACCGCCCACGCGTGTAAGTACCTGGTGAGTGAACCTTGCTGGAAGATGACGCTGTTCTCTTGGGAGACGACACGGCAGGTTTGTTAGCTTCTGTTTCTTTCTGTGATTCTTTCTTCGTTCCTACATAGGGTTTGTAAAGAGGAAAGAAAGAGAAAGGGGTGGTTATGGGAGGCACTGCGTAATCAAAGGCAAACAAAACAACAAGGAAATCGCTGGATACTTTGTTATAGTCAACGCCCCGGTCCCTTTGCCTGGGAAGTTGACACATTTATAACAAAGGGAATTTAGTTCCCAGTGCCACCTAAAATAGGCCCACTTGTCTCTAGTTTGACCACAACACCACTTACGCTGGTAGGCTCAGTACCCAATGACCTCACAAAACACCTAGGGATTAAAATGTCATTGTACTTAGGCACCAACTTGGTCTACTGAGGACAGGGAGGGATGGGATAGGTAGAAATACCTGCCGAGCCACTGGGGACCTCATTGGGCTCTAATTCATTTCCAGAGGTGACCTAGAGATCACCACCCCCCTCGGTTGTAGATGAGCCTTCCTGGATATTCCAGCTGGTGGGGCTGGAGGGATAACCTGGGCATGGGGGACCTAGCGGCATGTGTAGATGCCCTCAGGAGATGACCGGGGCTGCAGAGTGCCTTCCCTCCAAAAGCTGAAGTCTGCTCACTGTTGCTAGGTAAACTGCCATTGTCAACAACATGTCCAGTCGTTCGTGTTCTCATGAGACCATGCGAGGAACTCTCTCCAGGCCCGTGCCCTGTTGACACTGACAAGCCAGGCATGTAATTTGACAGACCCCAAAGGTTTCTGTACAGCAATCATATGTTTGGCTTCGTTTAACAGAGGCCTAATTGCCAGCATGTGAATGGGTAGATACTGTGCCCATTTTTCTCCCTGATAGGGATTGTTCTTTTAGTTTGCAGAACAGCCCTTCCCCTGATATTGAAATTATGTTTGGCCAAGTCTCCCTCTTCAAACATTTTAAGACCGTCCTTCACTGCCAGTAGTTTTAGGTTTTAACATGTCTGAATGCACACAATCCCCTACCCATTTCCAGCTCTGAAGTCCTGAGAGCAGTATTAAAGGTTTATATGCCCACACACATTGACGGTCTATGTGTGGGGCTATGTGACGGTCTATGTGACGGTCTATGCAGGGGGCTGGGATCTGGAGGCCTTGAGAGCCCGCCCACCATCTCCTCTTCTAAATTTATCTGGTTATTTGCCTCGTTTTACTTGGTAATTTAACTTTGAAATGGGCTCAAGAGCATAAGAAAAGGAATTAGTTTGGGGTCCATGTTTTCCCTCTCCAGGGGAAGAGTCCCTTCATGGCCAGCGCAGAGTGATTAAGGACGCCCGTGGTGATCTACTGAGACGCCTCTGCAATGGCTGCCTAGCTCCTGCCCTCCAAAACATCCCCCATGTTTCCCAGCCATAAGTGTGTAGCCATTGTCAACCTGACACACCTGGAGAGAAGGACCCTCAACTGAGGAACCGCCTCCATCAGATGGGCTCTTGGACTTGTCTGTGGGAAGTTTTTGTGACTCCTAACTGATGGATGAGCGCCCAACCCTACCATGGGTGGTGCCCATCCCGAGGCGGGAGAGTCTGGGATACATCAGAAAAGTAGCTGAGCAAGTCACGGACAGCAATCTGCATTTTTCATTGTCCTCTGCTTTAGTTCCTGCCTTCACGTTCCTGCCTTGAGTTCCTGGCTTGATATCGAGTCTTCGATGATGGGTTGTGACCTGTCAACCGACTAAACCGTTTTGCCCCCAAGTTGGTTTTGGTCATGGTGTTTATCACAGCAACAGAGAAGCAGACTAAGGCAGTGTGGGGAATTCAGACGTGTGTACCAGAGTTATATACCCACCTATCCAAAGCAGACACGTGTACCAGAGAAACGTACACACCTCCCCAAAGCAGATGTGTGTACCAGGGAAATGTACACACCTATCCAAAGCATACGTACACAGCTATCCAAAGTAGACATGTGTATCAGAGAAACGTACATACATCCAAAGCAGATGTGTGTACCAGAGAAATGTACATAACTCCCCAAAGCACATGTGTGTACCAGAGATACGTTGAGACAGAGTTTCTCACTGGGACTTGGGACTGGCCAATGAGGCTAGGGCAGATGGCTAGCGACAGTCAGGGAACTGCCTGTCTCTGCCTCCTTAGTGCTGGGATTTCAAGCATGCACCACCATGCCTGGATTTCTCGTGTTCTGAAGATCAAACCAAGATCCTCACAAGGCAGGCATTTCAGTCTCCAAGCTATCTCCTCAGTCCTATTTCTGATACATTTTTAGAACCTGCCTTCTGCCCGCCCCTTGCGGATTTGTACATTGAAACACAATCTCCAGTATGATGGCATTATGAGAGGCGGGGCTTGGGGAAACCTTACTGCCAATCTCCAGTAGGATGGCATTATGAGAGGCGGGGCTTGGGGAAACCTTACCACCAATCTCTAGTATAAAGGCATTATGAGAGGCGGGGTTTGGGGAATCTTACTGCCTGCTGTTTATAATGCACTCACCTTGCATTTTTAAACAGCAGGCTGAATGGGATTAACACAGAACTTGTAGGTGCTGAGCTAGCCTGGGGTACTCAATCACATCTAATGGGGCTGGTGCCAGTCCTTTCCGTCTAATGCGAGGGTATGAATGTTCCAGAGCCAAGGTCACAGAGCTATTATTGGTAACCACTATGGGAATCTGGTTCCAATTTTAAGTGCACCCCCACCTAACCCCCACCATGCAAATTCTACATGGTAGAAACAAGCAACTCACCAATGCTCACCCATAATTCTGTTCCACTTTTTCCAACAGTCACGTGGAAACAGATTATTGTTCTAAGTGGTCTTTTCAAAAGCCAAAAGGTGTGTGCAATTAAAAAGAAAGAAGGTGTCCAGACAAGTTTCCTGCTGGCGAGTAACTTCTCGTGTGTGACACAGGCCACTGATGTCACATCCACCCTGTGCCAGCTCCAAGTACAGGGCTCTGGGCACAGTGTGAGCTTTGCACTTAAATGCATAGGTTTCATCCAAGCTTGCAGTCTTCTGTTTTTGTAACTTTGGGCAACTACCAGGTTTCTCCAACCAACTTATCAAGGGGGCTGCAATGTCAGTTTGATCCATTAATGCTGATGCTGCCCTGTTACTTAATAGTGCATCTATGGGCTAGCTAGACAGTTCACCCTCATACGTTGACAGCTCAACGTTCAGAATCACTCTGAGAAAGGAAGACGATGTATTTCAGGCTCCTATTTTCTGTGCCCCTATGCTGACTGTTGCTTCTCAGTACGATTCCTCAACAGTCATGATGAAGCTGGAGAACCAATCTTTACAGGACACGAGAATAATTAAGTCATACTCTTCTTGAGTGGCATCTGCACGCCCCATTTCACAAAATTCAGCAAATTATAACTGAGCTCATGAAGATACATATTAATGTCCTATTTGGGAACCTTAAGTCAGAGTCGTTGTCCTTTACAACCAGCCAGTCTTTTAATAGATAAATAAAAGTAGTATATTAGAAAGAGAAGCAGCTTTGGGGAAAGACAGACCTCACCCCAAGTCCTGATCAGCTGCCTAGATACTCTGACACTGGGAAAGCCAGCTAGCTCCCCATCTATAAGCAGAGGAAAAGTGGAGTTTTATCATATCACTTGGTGTTTAGGAAGAGAGACAAGAGCCCTTGGGTGAAGACTGGCATGAGAGTATGTTTATGTTGGTGGTGGTGGTCATCAAGATGGCTAAGTGCCTGCGTCGTCATTGCTGCGGGGCCAATAAGTGGGTTTGAGGCGCGAACATCGGGCGGGTAGCGATGTTGCAGTAGTGACTGGGAATCAGACCCTAAAAGGAAAGGATGAGGGATGGAGTGAACAGTGGGAGAGAAATCACAGAGGCACAGCACGGCTCGGCTTAGCACTGTAGTTGGAGGTACAAGAAGGTGGCTTGGCAGGGAGGAGGTAGCACGGCAGGGAGGAGGTAGCACGGCAGGGAGGAGGTGGCACGGCAGGGGAGAAATTGTACAGCAGGGAAGGAGGTGGGTGGCTGCGAAAAAGATGGCATGGCAGGGGAGAAGGTAGCATAGAAGGGGAAAAGGCAGCATGGCAGGGAGAAGGTGGGTGGCAGGGAGAAGGTGGGTGGCAGGGAGAAGGTGGGTGGCAGGGAGAAGGTGGGTGGCAGGGAGAAGGTGGGTGGCAGGGAGAAGGTGGGTGGCTGGGGTTCTGACTATGGGCCTTGGATCCACAGGCAGCTGGGACTGCTAAGGGTCCTAAGCCAGGGAGTAGCAGGACCAGACGTGATGGAGAAAGGTACTTTCTTAAACTTAGGATTTTCTCTGCACCCCATAAAGACTACGCCTCTACTCCCAAAGGCACTGTTAGTGTTTGAGATCGCATCAACGCAATGCACCGGATCATACAAGCCTGGACAGGAACTCAGCGATGTACAATTCAAAGTTCCCCACTCCCCAAATAAAGAGGTGGGGCAGCACCATGGTATCCACTAGCATAGCGATGCACACATGGCACCATGGGCAGATTTCTGCAAGGCACAACTGTCGAAATCCACCACGGAAGCCATAAGACCATTTGCATGAATTCCTGCTGGACTCACTCCCACACTTCCTTAGGGTTGACAGGCAGAGTGGGCGACAGGTATGTAACCTTTAGATACAATCCCCCTACAAGCTCTGACATAAGAGTTGAGGTGTTACTATCCCACTTTTGAAGAACTCCTACAAAAACAAGGCTCGTTTTACACCAGCCTGCTGGTGGCTTGGGGTCAAGGTGCGTCAGGGTTGTGTGCAGCCTGGCACTGTGCAAGTGCCCTAGAAAGCTTCTCAAATTATCAAATACTATTCCTGCAGAGGGTTCAAGGGAAGGATTAGAGGGGACAGCAGAGGAAAGAGACGATTTCTTCCCACTTCTCATGTCACCCTGGGGCCAGACAAATCCCTAGCCCGCTAACTGTCGAAGGGGTTGCTGGTCTTTCGGTCATTTTATAGCTTCCAAGTTCCTTTGTCAGGGGAAGGAAGAAGGAGAGAGAGAGAGAGGGAGAGAGAGAGAGGGAGAGAGAGAGAGAGAGAGAGAGAG